ATTTTCCAAAGACCCCCTCCTCTCCTCCTATAAAAGGAGGCTTCCTCCTCCGCATTACAACAACACTCCAAGGGAAAGAGCACCACACTTGAGCATCAGTCCAAGGCTTAGGCCATAGCTAGTAGAGTTGAGTATTTGGGAGAGATGTGAGGGAAGAGTATGGGGAAGAGCCAGACTTGTCGATATCTCCCCGAACTTGTACCTCGACGAACACTTTGTCCCTCGACGGAATATTTGTTGGTGCGTCTTAGCGTAAGCAGAAAAGTCCGCATGCGCATGGAAGTACCGTTGTAGCACTTCACCCGGAAGTATTCAGGGTATCGTATTTTCCGAAGGAACGGTAATGTAAGTAGTCTCTTGGCTAGTTCACCTAGGAGAAAAGGATGATGGGTAACTTGGGTAGTGAGGTTCCTCTAAGGGTAGAAACCTTAAGTGTAGATAACTTTGCTACTCTGAGACTCACTTGAAATCGGTTTTTGCTTGGTCTCGCCGAGGTGAATCTAGCCTATGGCTCTATGTCAGATCCAAACATGGGGATTACTGAAGGACCCAATGACATTGTCACCACCTGCCACCTACCCCTCAACCGTGGGATATGAGGCAAACGAAGGTAACGTGTAGCTTAGACACCACGTCTTCGCTAACCGCTACTACTCTAGCGTTGGCCAGGAACTTTCATCTTTATCAGGAGTCCTCTACTAGAGCACCCACCTTGAGGGACGGATGGCGAACCCACAAGTAGCAACAATGATAATCTCTTGACTTAGGAATCAAAACCAAAGATGAACACAAACTTTACTCCAATTAGTAAGGCGAACATAGAGGTACAAGTGTAGAGGGGTCGACAAGTCCGCACTCCGTCCACTGGATGCCGAGCGTAGAAGAGGTCAAGTACGTTTTAACCGGGATGCGGGCACTCACCGCAATGACGAACGCGCCCGACGACAGACGCCTAGCGACGGCCATGGCCACCGTCGGAGACGATGGCGTGATCGATCGAAAGGGTCAAATATGGTCAATATCGCCTACCCGAACGACAGACCACATCGTCGCCGCCGTTGATGAACCTCGCGCCAAAAGCGCAACTCTGACGAAAGCAAGACAAGAAGATCCTCAAGGCCCATGCCCCCTCCACAAGAACACAAAGCACAACATAAAGGATTGCCTTGGCTTAGCTAAGAAGTTCCAGGCTAAAAAGCCAAACGACGACAACAACGACGGAGCCGGAGGCCGCCGACCACCTAGAGGCAATAACAAGGCCTTCCAGGATCACGACAAAGTGGTCGCCACCATCTTAGGGGCCTCTCGCTGGCCGAAAGCGAAGAGATCGAAAAGCTCACCGCCTGGGCCAGTGCTCGCTGTCAACGCGGAAGACGCCGTCGCCAACCCCAGCTATATCGCCCCACGGTCCGAGGTCCCCATCACCTTTAGCGGTGGGCCGACTAGTGGGCGGACATCCTTATGTGAGGGCATTTCCCCTCGTTCTTGATGCAACCGATCTAGAAAGTGGTTTTCAGGGAAAATACTGCCGACGGGCGGAAGTGCTCTGAACCTCCTCTTCGCCGGAGCCCCTACAGAGCTGGGCATTGGGATAGGAGACCTCACACCCTCCGACTCCTTACTGGGTGTGGTACCGGGCGAGAGCATCCAAACCGCTGGAGAGATCATCCTCCAAATACAGTTCGGCACGGCTAGCAACTACCGCGTCGAAAGCACATCACCTTCTCGTCGTCAACTCCAAGTACAAGAGGTGAGATCCGCGTTGCCGCCGCTTCTTCTCCGTCTGTTACATGCATCTGGTCATTTCTCGGTTCGATTCGATTCCGCTAACCGTGGTTGCGGTGGTTGCTAATGCAGGTCCAAGTCGAACCAGTACGAGACCACGTCGCTCGTGCAGAGCTCCGCGTGGCTTGGGGCCAGAGCCGCCGATGCCTCCGCGTTGTCGAGGAAGCAAGGGCGGGGCCGTGGCGCTGGCAGCTTGGGGCCATGGCTTGCGCCTCCGTCGGCTGCTTCGTCGCCTCGTCCCTCAACAGCTAGTCATGCCTCCCCAGCGCTTGCGCATCCGTCGTTGCTTCGTCGCCTCCTGCGCCTCCTGCCCCTCAGCAGCAAGCAGTTGAGCCTCCCAGCACTGTAGAGATGGATTGCAATTTGCAAGTGTAAATTTCTAGTACTGGTGTGCTTCAAACTACAGAATGATTATTGGTTTGCATCCTCAGGGGCTGATTTCCTTGCTGTCCGGATAATTTTTTTTCTTTGAAAAATAGGTTTGCCGAGTGCGCGATAAAAAACACTCGGCAAACCAATTTTTTTTTGCCGACATGTCAATTTGACAAGACCATTTGCCGAGTGCGCGATGTCGGCAAATAGCTGTTTACACAAAGATGCCGTGTGTCGCAAAGCAAGGGTTACACTCGGCAAAGCAGTTGCCGAGTGTTTTGGGCCTTTGCCGAGTGCCCCTAGCACTCGGCAAAACTACTGTATCCCGTAGTGGATACAGTAACTTCAATCCTCATATGCCAATTGTAGAAACTCAGATATAGTGACCTCATATATCAGATGTTCAGCGCAACAAAGAATTTTTCAGATATGCTTATAAACAAAGTCTTGCTGAATCTACAAATCGACAGGGATGCATACAGCAAGCAAATGAACCAACCTAGTAGACATGATCATGACTCTATAAATGACACGAAGGCAATTCATGTGACCAGGTTTATCTCCAGCCCTCCCCACGCGCTAGCGCTCTACGGCATCAACCAACAATCTGGAGCACTACGTGTCTGTTGGCAGAAATCGGGCGAAGCAAACCACGAAGCTCGAAATTGAACCCTAACGGCGAGTGGGAGGGAAGCGTCTTGTGCGGGAGTGGCTCACGGCGGGCTCACCTTGATTCGCTTGGAGACGCGGGAGAAGGAGGCGCCGAGGTCGGCATGTGCGTGGGAGTGGAGAGCGTCGAGGTGGCGCTTGAGGTCCTCCATCTGCGAGGCGACGACGCTCCTGAGGTCTCCGGCGGTGGATACCCTAGCTCCAGCCCCAGCCGCCGCCGCCGGCAAAGACTGGGGAGACGCAGCGGGGGGAGCGCGCGGGCCGGCGTCGTGGCCGCGGACTGGAGTCGGGGTCGGGGGAAGCCACCGGCGTCGCAGGCGGCGGGGGCGGGCACTGGCTGGAGTCGGGGTCGGGGGAGGCCACCGGCGTCGCAGGCGGGGGAGGGAGCCGGCGTCGCTGGCCCAATCCTAGGGAGGCCGAGCTCTACTGCGCGAGCGAGTGCCGCCACCGCGTGGTCCTCGTCCAGGCTAACGAGGGGAAGGAGAAGGGGGCAGCTTGGGGGAGGAGAGGGCAGGCGAAGCAGCTGCAGAGGAGGGAGCAGAAGGCGGCGGTGGGGAGTGAGCAGAGGGCGGCGCATGGGAAAGGGAGCAGAGGACAGGCGCAGGGGGCAGCCACGCTGCCAAGCTGAGTGTAGTAACTGGTGGCGCCAAGCGTGGACGGAGGAGCGGCGGGCCGGTGCAGGTGGAGAGCGGGCGGCCTGGCGGGGGAGAGTTGCAGCGCAAGGCAGAGAGGAAGAAGAGAATAATCTGTTCGGCCTGGTCTTAAAGCGGCTTTACGACTGATTTGTTTTTTTTTATACTAAACTAGCTGTTCAAGGATACCACATTAACAATGAAAAGGTAGTTTACACTAAAATTCACGCATCAACCCAAGAAACTATACGAAATGAATAAAAACTATATAAATTATCTTATATAAAGCATATTATCGCTGCGTGTATGTCAGAAATGACAAAGGTGGTGCAAAAAACAAGTTTTGTTATGCTAGAAGAATAAAACTAGGCAGTCAATCTATTTCTTATCACAGTGAAGTACATAGTCTTGCAAATGAAAGAATCACACCATGTTGCCAACCAAGAGTTAAGTTCCGCAAAACAAAACAAAAAAAACTGTAGGCCATAGAGAAATATCAATAAATAGCATAGCTCTCACAAAACGCATCTCCAAGCCACAACTGAAAGATGGAGTTTTATAAGAATAGCACCATTATAAGAGAAAAATGGTTTGCGGTATACCTCCACATACTGATGCCATTGATGTTGAACCATCCGATGCCATGACTTCTGAATTTACCCGAACGGTGTATGGAAAATCACTTTCTGGAGGAAGCACAGCAAGCAATGCTTTCTCCGCAAGAGTGCCTACACAATGGTATAAAATAAATGGCTGAAATATTGGTTTTCATTTTGCTTCATCCAAATCTAAATCAGGACAGGATTAAATCTAGAAGAACTGAAGGGGAAAATGGCATTCAGCGTATCATAGTACTCCATGCATGCCCAAACAACAGCAAATTGTCAAGCTTTCATCCACTATTTGATAGTTCCCAAGCTTTTATATGCTAGGATAATACTAGTAGGCTATCACAGGTACCATTGTAAGGCTAATTCCATCACGTTGGTAAGCCTCTATATGAACCAAACTAGGTGAGGATACAAGAAATCCATTTAACTAGATTTCAGGACAATTCATTTAGCATATGGAAAGAAAAAAAAGTGCTACCATGTCCTACTTCTCGTCGATTCAGGCCTCCACGTTTGGCAACTTCATTTATTGAAAATGGGGGAAAGCTATAGTGAAGCATGAAACGTTTTGTTGGAGGGCCAACAATTGAATCCAGCCGCTGAGCATCGCCAGGAGCACCAAGGGTAACTGTACAAAGAACCTACAACCATAGTACTGGTTACTTATTTGCATGGGTATATATATACAATAACTTGATTGAAAATATAGTTAAGTCCATCCAAATTCAGACAAATAATACTATGTGAATGTGTGGTTGTATACTTGTAGCATTTCGTACTGTGCACTGTAGAGAGAGAGCAAGCGATAGAGCGCACCTGCGTGTCTCCACGAGAAAACAGGGCAGACCCATGTAATACTGGATATGTGTTGGATTCACAATACAATGGTCTCACTTCATCTAGTTGTCTACCATCTACTCTAAGTCCCTCTTCAATTATTCTTTTTACGTATAACCTGCACAATGGACACCAAGCCAGTGTCAAGACACAGTAGCACAGGTGATTTAATAAGATTATAGCAATGAGCCAATGAATGAAGTGGCATCAAGTGGTGTCATTGTGTCAAGTATAGCTGGGAGATGCAGATCTCAGTCTATTAAGAACCATAAACAAATTGCACAGATATTCAGAAATTCCCATAACTAATGGATAGCAGTATCTTCAGAAATCATGGCGGAATAATTTAGACTAACATTATATCCATGCATTTATTTTATGCTCAAAGCTATTTGTTTTCCTTGCCAAATTTGGCCGAAGAAATTAATGTGGGCTACCTGTTTTCTCACTGTGTCAACTGCCTTATGAAGAAACTTCAAGCTGTCCTCATCATTTTCTTCTTCAAGCTTTGCCTTCATAGATTGTGTGATCTTTTCTAAAGCTTCCCCGCTCAAACTGAAATGAAAACATCCAATAAGTTCACGCCTGAAGACTTCAAGGCAATTGCTGGTGGCCCTAAAACAAATGTGTGTGTAAAGAAATGATCAACACTGAATATTTTGGCTTCTCTTGACCTTGCCATATGATGAATCAGTGAAGACTTCCTCAATGGGTGCTTCTGAGAATGTTCTAATTTTCTCATAGGATGTATCTGAAATCAGTGATATCTTGTATTCTTTCTTCTCTTTGCCAGCTCGCTTAGCCAACCTTATTTGAGGGTCGATACATTTAATTGCCTGAGCATAATAACGAACACATGAGAATATGCTTACAATATATCAAGAAGCAGAAGACAAAAGAAAATACCTCAGAGTGTGCAAGCTTCATTCCTGCCTGAAGATCCCTCTCAGTTATTTCACAAGCTTGTACATCTATCATTAAAGTTTTATCCCGTGAACATTCATAAACAAGATTGAGATCACTCAAACCTAGCTGCAAAGCACCGTACAACATACACAAAATATGAGTCAACCAGACAAATTCTAGTAGTGTAGAATATACATGGTCAAAAAAAATTGAGACGTTCAGATATGCTATGAAATGGTAGAGAAATATCAAGTCCACAAGCAGTATAAATGTACAATATCATGGAAACAATACATGCACAACTCAGGGTAGAACACAATGATTCCTATGTCAGTAAACCAATCCAATTTACCTCATCCACTGTGGGATTTAAGACAAAAGTCCCATTAATTCTCCCTACACGTATTACTCCAATCGCCCATTCAAGGTATATCAGATAGCATTAGTGCAGCTGAAGAGGCATTTGCAGCCATTACATCTGGATCTTTGCTTTCCATCTGATGAAAGAACATTTACCATGATCTAAAAAAGCAGGATATAATGTTAGCTATGAGTTCTGATGGTTTAGCCAACTTTGAGAATTTGACGCATCATGAGAAGAATACCTGAACTTCATGGTAAAAGCCAGGAGGAAACAATGGTCTTATTGGCCGATCAATTATCGCCCACACAGGAGTTCTCTTTCCTTAGGAGCACCTTTCCCCTGCGCATATATGTTGTGGGGATAACACCTTGAGCATATTGTTTCTCTTGATAGTCAACCCACAGCCACCCAGAACGAAAAACTTTGCTGAGGCAAAGAAACACGAAAATAGTACTCACAAGATACAGAACGTAATGTTCAATTAAAAATGCAAGGACAAACAAAACTTCAATTTTCCATTTTGAATGTAGCACAAAAGATCATTTTCTTTTTGGACAATGACATCCTAACATTCAGCATTTTTACAATTTAGAATCATACTAAATAACAAATTAAATAACACACCATACACGCTACACAGCTAGTTGACCACATAACCAGATAGGGCTTTTGCAGTTTTGCAATCATTTCAAACTCAATATGCATCGAACTGACAACTGGCACCAGTTTTAGTTTCATTAATATTAAAAAAAAAAGCCAGTTGGGCCCCTATTTGCACAGTTAAGAACAGTTATTAATCTGCAATATAAAACAGGCTTGTGAAATGTGAACCAAATTCATTATAAAACCTCAAAAGCTAAAATATGAGCATGGAATGGGGGTCAATTACGGCAGTATAGAACCATATCAAATTGCAAGATTCATCAGTTGCAGTACATGAATTGGGCATTCCTTGTAGAACTCAACGCTTCTCTACAAACTCACATAACGATCACATTAAAAGAAAAAATACAGGGGTTATCCGTACAGTTAGTGGGAGGAAGTCCCAACAGGCTCAGAGGACTTGGCGGCGGCGACGGTTGAGAGGACATGGGTGTCTTCCATGGAGATCACCACGGAGCCGCTGGCAAAGCGCCGCCATCTTTCCCGCCTCGAGGCGATGGAGCGCCCCGATCTCGAACTCCTCCGGAAGCTCTCTAGCACCTTCCGACCCAGGCGGCGGCGGCGCTGGCCGCGCTTCCAAGCAGCAGCCAGCGGGCCGCCTCCTCGGCCGCGGAGAGTAATGTCAGCAATGGCCGCCGGGACGACGGTGCAGCGTGCAGCGGCAAGCGAGGGCGGGCCGGGCGGGCGCCAGAAGCGGAGGAGGAGGCCACCACCATCGACATGGTGACAAGTGGCGGGGGGGAGCAGGAGGGTTTTGGCTAGGGTTTACGGGAGATTTAACTTTTACCATTACTAGTTGACAATTATACAGGTCATGAGTATTGTATTTGCACATTACACAGAGCTTTAGAAAGGGGAAGTTTTACTTGTGGCTTGATGAAAAAAGGAAACAAAATCCAGGTAACCCCAAGCAAAACTGTCATGTACCACAGTCCTTGGGATTTATAAGGTTATACGATGTACTACTTGGGAACTAGTATGTCTGAGGCTTTCTACTTCTCTGAAAGCAGTGAAGTTTAAACCTCTGTGATTCAAGTTTCAAGGATAAACCGAATGCGGATAACCTGGCAATGAAAGAAACAAGGTCGAAACTGCCAAGCATTGAACTGAGCACGAGGGTAGCCAACAGAAAAGCTAATTCATATTACTGCAAAAAGGCATTTTTCTCAAGTATACGCGAAAGGCAATAGTAGATTGCGATAAGTGTGTGCTTAATTGGAATTCTGTTGAAGCAGAATATATCTTATACTACTGCTGACAGCCGATTTAAAGCATTTCATAATCTCTGCGGCTACGAAACGAAGCTAAGCTTGCTCTGTAAGAGTCTTGCACGTAATATATCCATATCGACTATCGTCCCTGTGACTGTGACCGTATTCAGAAGCTAGAGCATCACGGATCAAACAAAGTTCAGTTTTCATACGTCTCCACAACCCAAACCCAAATCATTTGCCAAGAGCATAAGTGCACAACCCAACTACTTTCTAATTATTATTACGCAGGGAAAAGAAACCTGGAGGCGCGGGGGCGCGGAGGGAGACGACGGCCGCCCTACCGCCGCCGGCGCCGCGGCAGAAGCGGATCGAGGAGGCGGGGGAGGATGAGGATACGGCGAGGTGGGGCCGCGCGGTGCCGGCGGGGCGACTCAGGAGGGGGCGGGACGTGCCGGAGACGAGCGCCATGGCGGATTTGTGTGTGTTTGGTTGGGGGAAGAAGCAGGCGACGCGGGGAGGGACGGAACGGGACGGGAGTGGAGGAAGCGAGCCGAGGAAGCAACAGGAAAGAAAGATCTGGTGTGGTGGTAGTAAGCCTCAGCGGACCGCCCAGATTCGTGGAGGCCTGGAGCATTTTCGCGTCGGGCTCAGCGGGCCGCAGTGAGATATTAACCACATGCTGATGTGTACATTCACCCTCTAAACACACGTAAACTCTACCGTACGAGCACGTCTGAAGAACTAAACGGTTAAATCGCAAAGTTAAGGACAACTCCAACCGATCCCTCCAAATTTAGCCCCTGTGCTCCTAAAAATGAGGATCCCCTCGTCAGATTCTAACTTATTTCTCCTACTCTTCAACCAAACTCTTATTTCAGGCTCTCTATTTTCTCTCACCTATATTTTATACATAACTTTGTAACTACCAAATCTAACATTTTATATCTAAAGCGTGTTTGTATTATTGGAATGGATATTTCTTAATGACAATTTTGTATGGCTAAATATTGAAGTAATTATTTTTTCAAATAATTTAGAACTATATTTTTTTTATTTGTCGATCTTAGAACGGCTATATATTTGAACGGACACTCTTTCAATGACTATAAATTAAATGGTCGCTCTTCTAATGGCTATAAATCAAGCGATTAAGCTTTTCCAGCGGCTATAAATCAAACGGTCGCTCTATCTTTAGCGTTTATATTTTCCGTCTATATATATATGTATGGACATTCCCTTTCCTCAACCAATTCCAACATTGCGTTGCTTCTTGTCCACTAAAAATGAGTCGTCTCTCCCGACTAGATTCATCTTCTTCATCCGATGATGGTGATGATGCTCTTGAGGAAACCCTTACTGCGTTACACCAAGCACACACTCAATATCACGCTCTCCATGCTCCACGATGGGGTGGTTCTGTACCTGGGCGTCAGTACATTCATCGGGACAGAGAAAGTGGGCATTAGAGGTTGTACGATGACTATTTCTCCGAAAATCTAACCTACGGGCCACCTTTCTTCTGGTGCAGGTTTGCTAATAGCCTGTTAATTATTGTGTACCTCCTTTATCCACATTCTTATGTTCATGTTTGCTTAGTTTGGATTTGTCCCTTAGGTTTAGGATGTTTCATACGCTATACCTTCGCATAGTGCAAGCTGTAGAGCAACATGATAATTACTTTGAGCAGAAAAGAGATAGAGTTGGACGTCTCGGGTTATCATCTTTGCAAAAGATTATTGCATCTTTTTTTATGCTTAGTTATGGAGTACCAGCTGATTTCATAGATCAATACATTCGTATTGGTGAAAGTACTATCATAGAAAGTCTTAGAAGATTTGTCACAGCAGTTGTTGACGTGTTTGGAGAGGAGTATCTGAGATCCCCTAATAAGAATGATACAAGTAGATTACTTGCAATCGGGCAGCGGAGGGGCTTTCCTGGAATGCTTGGGAGTTTGGATTACATGCATTGGAGGTGGAAGAATTGTCCTAACCCATGGGGTGGGCAATATACTGGCCATGAGCACGAGCCTACAATAATACTCAGAAAAGTCATTGCATGATCTTTGGATTTGGCATGCTTTTTTGGTTTACCGAGGTCACACAATGATATCAATGTTCTTCATCGCTCCCATCTATTTACAAAAGGCTAGCCGAAGAAGTTGCCCCAGAAGTTAATTTTATCGTTAACGGTAATAATTATACAATGGGGTACTACCTTGTAGATGGCATCTACCCTCAATGGGCGACATTTGTGAAGACCATAACAAATTCCCAAGGGAACAAGAAGAAATATTTTGCCAAGTCACAAGAAGCGGTTAGAAAAGGATGTGGAAAAGAGCTTTGGGTTCTACAAGCTCAATTTGCTATTGTTCGCCGGACCAGCTCGTATGTGGGATAAAGCGACACTTAGACAAATAATGACCGCCAAATTTTTTGTGTCATCATACTGTATGATCGTTGAAGGCAGGCGAAGTGAAGACGAAAGAAGACGTCCACTACGAAGGTGTCGGCCCGGCTTGTGAGACCTACTCAACTGAGAAGTTCGTGAATCATATGGAGAGTTCCATGAATTCCCTACAAGCTCATCACAATATCACAAATAGGGCAAATCCGCGCCCAACTTCAACGAGATCTTATCGAGCATCTTTAGCCGACATCACTCGGACATGTATTAATACCGAACCTTCATATCCATGTAGTCTTGTACCATCTATTTTTACCAGTAGAGTACCTTCTATTTTATCAGTCATGTACCCTTCAATCATGTATCAGTCAAATAAACATCCATTTTTTTCTAGGAAAACAAAAAAAATATTATTCTACCACTTGTATTTGGCATCACAGACACAAATTTATACACACATTCTAAATCCAAATTGCACATTACATTTCAAACTGGTTCACAAATCCAAATTCACCACATTGCTCACGAGAGTCCCACTTGACAAGTCTTACATGCTAAGTAAGTAAGTTCAAGAGGCAAAACTTCACCAAGTCTAGCTGCTTACATGCCAACTAAATAACAGTTCAAGAGGCAAGACTTCAGCAAGTCTAGCTGCTTACATGCCAGCTAAATAATAGAGAGGCCTTTTCATAGTGCACACACAAAAGACAAATAAACACCTTTTGTCCCTCACTCATACCATTAAGGTCCATGTTCATAACTTTATCATCATCTTCTCTCTGTTTCAACTCTATTTCTCGTTGCATTAACTCTAGCTATACGCTACTTGTTGCTTGATTTCAAACCTTTTAGTCTCTCACCCTAAAAACACCTCTCATCCTTACGTTCTTTTTTTTTTCTTAATCTCCTTCATCACTTTCGGCCTTTCTCTCTTTGCCCACAATTTTTCCATTGCCTCCATGTAAAGGCCTTCTCCTTGAGAGTTGGGATTTTTTACCTCTGCGTGCTTTCTCCTTCTTACCATCGGCCTTCCTTTCCTTGGTGATGTATGACTTGGTCCAAATCCTCTTCATGACATACTTACTTTTATGAGTTCTAGGTGTACATGACCACTGGACTTGTGGTTGAGGAAGTCTTTTGTTTTTTAAAAGGAGAGCTTTGAGAGGTCTCACAACCTAGATCGACCCACTACGCTCATGCTGTAGACTTATTCCGACCAATGCATGAAAATAAATGGTTTCCCCTCCGGGATCTTTTTGGCTGGCACAATTCCTTTGCTGTTCTATCTGTACAAAAAACATGTGTTGGATACCATGCACAAAAGATATACATTTCAATCAATTAATATAATTAAACAACACCTTATCTTGCTCTGTCGGCCCGCTTTCTCTTACATTACGAACTTGAGTATACCATCCACAAAATCTATTAACACTTTTATGGATGATACCCCAAATCGGAGAGAGAGAACTAATATTCGCTTTCGGACTCAAAAGTCTTGTGCTCATGATAATAAACATGAATTCACTTTCAATAAGTACTATGAGTTTGACCCGGTGCCTTGAGGCTGGATTCAAGCTAATTTCTAGCCATGCTTTCACCAACATAGTGTCTTCACAGGGAATGAAATTTCTAGTTCTCTTCTTACTTGGTTTGGGGGAGAGAGTACAATGGTGATTAACTTGTTCAACATGTGTTTCAACTTGAAAGTCAATAAAACACAGATCAATGTTGTCCCCATTTCTGAGAGCAAATCAACCCAACTCTCCATTTGTTCTTCCTGGATATAAGAATTGACTATATTAACAAATTAACCACAACCTTTTCATTAAAAAAAAGAATCAAGCACAAGCCAAAATTGATTAAATAATGCCAGATCTTTACTTCTCACCACACTCTAAATCTTACGCTCCTGACACTTGCTCTCTCTGTCTTCACTTTGCAAGGCTTCCTCTCTCTCTATCTTTCATCTGTAACTCCACTAAGAACAACAAAGACGCGTCAAGACAACAAGACGGTATGACAGTATAGCAATGTAAAGCAATAGACGGACATTAGGGAAGCCACCAGCAACAACGCAAAGAAGATAGGGGTGTGACCTTGTTAGCCAATAAGCTGAGGGCGACGCAGACCAGAAGGTTTCAACATACCCAATGATAAAAGCTGCCTAAGAAAACGAGTGAATACCATGATTCATGAGACATATTCAGATCCCCATCTCCCATCCATCTAAAAGCCGAGAAAAGCGTTTTGGTGGATGCCACAATAGCGAAGCAGGGAACAGGGACGTACCACTGGAGATTTCGCGGCGTATGAAGATCGCCTGTGTTGGCCCTGCTTCTTTCTGGGTGGATGAGAGCCTCGGGATGAGAATCGTCAGCTCAGTTATGAAGACGAGGAGTGAGAACGAGGATCACTCATCCACGTCAACGGTTGAGATAGGAGACCCGGTTGGAGAAAGTTGTTTTACGTTTAGACCTCAAAATGAGATGAGGGATGGGGGATGGGTTGTTGGCTGGAGTTGCCAAGTCATCGCCAAAAAATCTCACCATGGATACTTATTTGTTGGGCCATTACATTTAGATTCATCTGTTACCGTAATAGTGTATAGGTGATGGTAAAATCATGTGCAACTCCTAGCACTACTATAAACTTTGGCTTCTGTTAAATTGGAAGACAAAAAAAATGGTATTATCATTAAAGTAATTTTTGTGTGGTACCCTCGGAGCCACCCTTTTTCGTACTTATCCTTATCGATAGCTAGATAAAATCTTAAACGATGAACATGTATTTGGATTTCTCATCGACTATACTCGATCTCTTACTTGCTTGAAAACAAAGACTTCCTACACAGAGTCCAGATACTTTGCCCAGTAAGGCAGGGGCGGGCTTAGCATGAGCAAGGGAATCAAGCAGACTCATTTGGTTCTCGCCTGTTAGACTCCATCATCTTGTTGTGCCAAGCGAAGCTGCTACTGCTAGCATTGCCTGTGGGCTGGAACAGAATTTGAGTTGATAAAAAAAAGCTTATTTGAAGCCTTCACAATCAAGTGCCATAAGCA